CAAAATCATGCCCTCCGCCTTTGTCTTGGATATCGCATCTCTACGCCCCTTATAAATGTTATATATGCCGAAACTGTGGAACTCTCTCTTTCTTTTAGATTCCGCCTTCTCGCCTCCCGCTACTTTATGAAAATCTCTTCCATGCGGGACCACATTGCCGTTGACAAGCTTCACCAGCTTTGTGATAAAGCTAGGGAGCTCTCTAGGACAGACTATCTGCATAACCACTTTCCAGTGGCCACTGTGTTCTCATACATTTGGTCCTCCTATCATTCTTTCGTGGACTGCTCTTATACCTTACCCGGTTTTCGCTCTTCCTTTCGTTCCTCCACTATCACTATTTCATACGACTCACTCTCTCTCCTTCCTATTCCTCCTGAAGATAGCGATAATCATGTAACTACCTGATTTTTATACTCGGACTAGCTCGCCGGGAATGCGTGTCGTATAAAAAAGGTTCGGCGCGAGGAGCATTCGCGTCGGAGCGGTGCGGCGGAAAACTATGTGAAGTTTCGGAAATCGCAAAAAAAGAAAGAGCTAATACGAAAGTAATAATTTGACGACAAACATAGTTTATTACGACAACTAGACAAAAATATTATAAAAATAGAAAAGATACAACGGATAGAAATATATAATTATAATAATGGAAAAGATATATTTACAGAAATATATAATTATAGCGAACGGACGCGACTTACGACGATACAACGAAGAAATAAGCGAGCGCGGATAACAGAAAAATGTATATATATACAGGCGAGCGCGGACAACAGAAAAATGTATATATATATATATAATCGAAGAAAGACGGACGCGGACAATGCAACGAAACTAAGTCTAAACGGCGCGGGATATCTACAGGCGGTCGCGAGTTTTCTCGACGGCGGTTTGCAACGCGGCGGAACGCGGGTATACGCCAGCAAGCGTAGTTTCGCGGCGCGATGCGTAATTCGTAAGTCTTATTCGGAAAGGAAGCGGAGTTGGTACTTGACGGCCGGGAACGCCCGACAGAGGCAGGGAGCGCCCTACCCCTTTTCTAATGTCAAGTACCAGGACGGGATGCGGAAAAGAAGGTACGGAAGGTGGGAGTGATTACTAATAACGGCTGTCCGGCGGCCAGGAACGCCCGGCAGAGGCAGGATACACCCTACCCCTCAGGTTCGTCGGACGAGCGAGTCTCTGGAGCGGTATCGTGAGCTTAGGATCTGGTGAGCGGATCGGATATATCGGGAAAACGGCGGAGACAAAAATGCCACGCGCGGCTCGTCATTACGGTATCTTATACTAGATCGCCAGTCTCGCTCGCAATACTTCGGTCGGTCGCGGTATTTTCCGCCGATCGGCTTCTTGTGGGAGAAGATTTCCGATCGGCGGTCCCCGACGACGGTCGGCACTTTCCGGCGAGACTGGCGGTTCTAACGGCGGCTGCTGTACCTGCGAATTATTTTAATGTATGAATAGGCGCCTTGCCCATACTCCCGTTGGCACCACGCGGGAACGATGCATTTTAGGGGGGCATCATTACAATCAATTACCCATCCCGAGCGCTCAAACGTTTTTTGAGCGTGACTTCCTTCATCTAGCTTCAGACTCCACGATGTTCTTCACTGATGGTTCTAAGGTAGATCACAGTACGTACGTGGGGGCGGCGATCTACTCCCCCCAGTTACAGCTTGAATTAATGATTAAACTTTCGTCATATACATCGGTATTTTCCGCTGAGGCGTACGCCATCTATACCGCTATCACCATTTCTATTGACATGAATCTTCCTAGCGCTACCATTGTTACTGACTCTATGAATGTTCTTGAAACTCTCAAGGGATTCCGTAATTCCACTAATAATTATCTCATTCCCTTTATTAAGTCATCTCTGGAAGAGGCAGAATCCAAGGGCACTGCGATACACTTTATATGGGTTCCCTCTCATAGCGGTATCACAGGAAATGAAAAGGCTGACCAGTTAGCTAAACGGGCAATTAGCAAGGGTATAGAACTAAATTTTAAAGTTCCTTATTCGGACCTCTGCGTGGTTACTAACTCTAAAATCACAGAAGATTTTTATCAACATTTGGCGACACTCGCTGATTTTAAAGGTTCGTATTACTTTGAGAACATATTCAATAGAGCTGCGAAACCCTAGTATTTTCGCTTTAAGATTCCCAGGGAGGCTCTCTCCCTCACTCGGGCACACTGACGCGAGGATATCTGCTCGGAGCCGCTAGAGGCCTAGAAAACAGAGATGCGACATTGCGTCGGTTGGGTTAGGTAACCACCGCCATTTTAATTCAATATAAATGCTCTTGACCAATAAGCTGATGACAGTTGATGCAAAAGGTAGAAAGATTAGATTAGGTTAGGTTAGAGACCCTATACCAGAGTTAGAGTCCTAGATATCAGAGAAGCGCAACCGGCTTAAGTCAGTATCGCAAAATTACTAAGAAAAGTATTAAAAATGGCGTCATTTGCAGACGAAATATGAAATCCACCAATCGTCTATTAGTCAGCCATTTTTAATACCACTGAATGAATGTCATGATTGGCTGACAGTCAGCTAATCAGGACGCGGAACATCGGTTGCGCTTCTCTGATATCTAGGACTCTAACCAGAGTCTGGACACGAGAGAGACAATTTCTGATTGGTCCGTCGTTTGTGGCAACTCCCGCTCTAATTCAAACGTCGATAACCTTATAAATTCATATAGGATAGAAATGTATACATAAACTTTTAGAACATTTTTATTTTTTTAACGAATATTAACTAACTTCACAAAAAAGTGAATTGTTTGTCGGTACCCGCAATCTTCTCGGTTAACATTTTTTACTCATATAACTCATCGTTCAGGATTTTTAGGAAATCTTTTCATTGCATATCCTTTGACAGCTGAATTATTACAATACGGAGCAGCGCAGCCACCTATTTTTACTATAAATATTTATTTAATGTTATTATTTTTAATATTTAATACATCGACATCGATGATTTAATATTTTTTACGCTGTTAACTTAAATGAAAGAGAATATACAAATACATATACATTACATTAAGGTTAGAATTAATAGACGAAGATAGTGTATATATATATCTTTCTCTCTCGTAGCATTTTGCCACAATCGCGCTCGTGTCCAGACTCTGGTATAGGGTCTCTAGGTTAGGTTAAGTCCGATATTAAATATTCACACAAATAAGAATACTTACACCATAATAATAGTTTTTTATTGCACTTCGATACTGTATTGTCTAAATTTTTCTCTCTCTATATATATATATATCTGTACGTTATAAAACTATATCTATTAGATGCAATAGTAAATTAAAATGGCTCTCTGATCACGCGATTTAGACAGCCAATCAAGCCATACCCTTCAATGACGCATCTCTGTTTTCTAGGTCTCTAGGAGCCGCTTGCTCCGGCTAGGCGCAAATATTCGCACCTATTTAATACAATTTTTACCTTCTACTCTAATCAGTACTGTTAAAACATTAAGGGTTGGATTATACTGGCCGTAATCTGTTAACTTATGCTGTAATCTGTAAAAATTGACCAATTATAATCGATTATTCCCCTCTCATTCGACTGTGATTGGTCAATTTTTACAGATTACGGCATAAGTTAACAGTTTACGACCAGTATAAATCAACCTTAAGACGTGACCTGGCCGTATCTAGAGTCCTAGATATCAGAGAAGCGCAACCGATGTTCCACGTCCTGATTCGCTGATGACTGTCAACCAATCATGACATTCATTCATTGGTATTAAAAATGGCTGACTAATAGACGATTGGTGGATTTCGTAGTTCGTCTGCAAACGACGCCATTTTTAATACTGTTTTTAGTAATTTTGCGATACTGACTTAAGCCGGTTGCGCTTCTCTGATATCTAGGACTCTAGCCGTATCGACCTCCTATTTTATTGTTTGGGGGCGGGAGCTATCAAAGAAGAAGAAGAAATTTTAAATCTAGAAGAATACACCAATAACAGAGAGCACTCACTCAACTGTCGAGTCTGCCGAACGTAGCCATTGGGCACATTCAGCGGAATCAACAGTTGAGTGAGCGCTCGCTATTATTGGTGTATTCTTCCAGATCTAAAATTCTGATTGGGTGATCTAAAAAAATACACAGCAAATAACAGCGAGCGTTCACTCAACTGTTGAGTCCGCTGAATGCGTCCATTGTGCGCAGCCCTAACTCAACTCAAATGGCAATACAAGACAGCGTTGAGTTGTCATGAATCATGAAAGTACTAGGTGGTAATGATTCTCTCTACTAGAGGTTCTCTACCCACTACTAAATTCACGAGCGCTGCGAGTGTCGAGAATCGGAAACTGAACTCGAAACCTAAAATGGGTCCACTTTTATTTTACGGAGTGGAGTCTCCTTATATCTTATACACACTTCCTGGGCTCGATCCTATGGAAATCAATCCCTGAAATCGTTGAAATAACTAAAATCTATCAAATTAATCAAAGATTTGAACAATTTCAACGATTATACTTCCACCAGAGCGCCGTAAAAAGATGGATATGGTTGTATAGTTAACATCCACTTCTTCAGAGGGCGGTAGTGCGCAAGGCATTTTGTGATTACGGATAAAATATTCTCTTATCTCTCGTATCCTCTCTCAAGTTTCTCTCTGCTAGTATGCATATCTTAGATTTTTATATACCATGCGCTCAGAAACTAGTGTAACGACAGTACCTTTCAATCGATTTGTAGTGTATATCGTAAAAATAGGAAGATATAAAATTTCATTAGCACATTCTTATGTATTTTGATTCTTTTTCGCAAGTGAACTTAAATTTTTCAAATTGTCAATCTGTTCTGATAATACAATATTTATGACGTAGATCAACATTCGGTTTTCCAAAGGACAATCTGCCGTGATCGCACGCAGCGCGATGATGTCGGTTTTATTGAGGAGCTTTCCAAGAAAGCGTATTGTGCGTGCGCTTAAATCTACTTACGAATTCCGAAGTCCGTGTGAAGAGCTCCAAGTGCATCGAGCGCGTACCGAGCGCGCATAAGCGTTTATAATCTTGATCTTTGCCGTGTGAGTGTGAGAAAAACACGGTTACACGAGGATGCGATGCATCTGTCCCGATTACGATGCTACGACATATGTACCTTTCATTCTCACGTGTTCGAGGAACATCTCTAGTGCCGCGATTATAATTGCAGCGGTATAAAATGTCAGCACAGTTAAGCATGCAAGACAAGAAGGATTTGGAGAAGTTTACCAAGTATCTTGCGTTGAGGGCTGCCCAAGTTATAGTACAGTCAAGATCGGGCCAGAAAGTCAACACCACGTGCAAGCCAGACTCATCAGCTGGCGACTGGGTAAAAGTAAAATTTGCTTTAGTCCAATTTATCTGGTTTCACCAAAACTGCTAATCTATTTTTATCTTCAAAATATATATGTGCGTGTATATGTTGACAAACAGATGCAGTATTATTGCTGTAATCAAGTATCAATATTTTTTAACTTTTTGATTTTATATCATTTCTGAAGCAACATTGTATTCTTTCTATTTGGTGACATAAGTCAACACAATTGTCATTTTAGTTTTGTTAAGTACTCTTTGAATGTCAAGAAAGATAGAATAATATTTATACTGACTTATATTAATAAATAGAAAGCATTCAATATCTTGTTTCTCTGTTAAACAGCATATGTAGAATAGATAAAGCCATTGAATGGATCACATTTGACCTCCATTACCATATGAGAATTAATTATGTATTAAAGTATAGATACTTAAATTTAAGTATAGATAGTTTAAATTTATTTTTATTATTAAATATATATGTTACAGGCAAAGTCTGCATAGTGGATTGATATTATTCAAGTTGTCTGCTGTACAATGTCAGCATTATCTAGACTGTATCAATGTTGCTTAATCCAATCATATTTGGCAATGTTGACATAGCCCAGGCAATGCCAATACTGTCCATTTGTGGACTTTGTCCTTAACATATATAAAAGATGAAAGCATATGGAGAAATAGATAAGATTGTTTCAATATTTTCTTATTTCTATTTGTTTATTCAGCATAACACTAAAATTCATATCATAGTTTTCTTTCTTTCATCGTGTCTTATTATTTCTATATTAAAATATGGATCTTTTTAAAAATACTTAAAAAAATTCATTTTTATTAAATATCTAGATCATTTAAGATTATATAAATTATATTTTAAATATTATAGAGATTTATTTTTTTTGCTTAGTATCCATGTCTCATAAAAATATTATTTGTCATAAAGCTCTCTCTGTTCTGCAAAATATTGGATTAAACCAAATAAATTGTTCATACATTATACAGTCATTTTTAATTCTACTATTTTTAATTTGATGGATTTAAAAGGAAAATTAAATAAATACTTTCATATCTGATGTTGTAGTTTAATCTGGCAATAAAGGAATTACCAGAAGTGTCAGCTGATGCTAAAAGGGCATTATGCGGAGAGATAGTAAGCTCAGCTGTACCTCTATGCATAGAAATTTCTCTAAAAACAGTAGAGGGCGACAAGATGGTATTAGAAACTTGGAGCCTCAGCGTTTTGCCAGAGCAAAGTGATCCGGCTATACGAGTAACATATACTGTTTATAACAGAATGGGGATTTTATTAAAGTCCTTGCTTTCTGTATCAAGAGTTACGCCTGCTTACAAATTGAGCAGACGTCAAGGACCTGACTCGTATACCATGTGCTATCGAATATACATGGGAGAGCCTCAACTACATAATTTAGGTTAGTTTATAAATGAAAAATTCGCAGAATTATTCTTTATTTTTTAAAAATTATTTTAATTATTTTAATATTTTTTTTAATATATATATTTAAGAATTTATTTCTAAATATATGAAATATTTAGTGTGTGAATTATTTTATAAGAATCAATTTTTTTATGAATTTTACTATTATTTTTTAATTTTCCAATGTAACATTAATTTGCTGCCACTAACTTGGTTTCTTATTAAATGTTGTCTATTTTATAACAGGTGATAACTATAAACATGTAAGAGTAGGTCAATTGTGTACTCCAGTAGGCACTATACATTTGTCAGTCTCTTACAGAACAAAAATGACTATATCGCCCACTCACAAGGGACGAGATTCTATTATGCTTAAGAGCGATCATTTTCATTCGGACTTAAGTCCACGTCATGCACGATATCAACAAAGGTAAGTAAACATGGGTTTATATTTATACATATTTAACGAAAAATGTTTATATTTTAATAATATTTTTATTTAAATATATAGCGAAGAAACGTCAAAGTCACTTAGTGACACCATTAAAGTTGGCGCATTTGTAATAAACAAGCCTGTCATTGTTAATGAGGAAGATCTTGTGATACCAGATGTACCATTTAGTTCGCTATTAACACCCAAACAAACGTCGCCTCCTCCAATATCACTAGTAGAACCTAATACAAAGACTACAATGGCAGCTACAACTGATAGCAACAATGGAAATAACGAGAGACTTAATAATGATAATACAACTTCAAAATGCGCATCCCAAAACGGATCTAGAAGGAGTAGTTGTTCAATGACTAGCGCCAACGATGATTTTATTATGGTAGATTTGGTAATTGATGCTCTTAATCCGAACTGATAGCACGATAATGTATTATATACATATATACATATCTACGTATGTTCTACAGTATGAAATTTGCCTGATACTAAGAAACAATATTTCACTAGTTGTAAAAAAATTTTTGCATTTTTCTTTTAAAATAGTGTATTTGATTGAAATTTTATTAATTTGAAGTTTAAATTGGAAAGCTATAATGAAGAAAATATACATATTTATGTAGAAAATATTTTAAGCATAAAGAAATAAAAATATTCTTATTTATAGATAAGAAAATATCATTTTATTATTTTATAATAATTTAAAATTTGAGAAAAAAATTATTGTAATAAATTATGACATTAATTTTTGAGTAGCATCATAAATTAAAATTCTAATTATTTCATCTCAATAAAAAAATAGAAAAACTTTAGATATGTATATAAATTTTTTAAATTGTATTTTATATTTAATTCCTTTTGAATAAAAATTACATATAATACATGACAAAACAATTTATAAAATATATAAAAAATAATATATAAATAAATTAATATTTTATATGTATTGACTTTGTTTAATTAGGGAAAAAAATATTTTTATTTTCATAACTTGGGCAAATTTTATACTGTATTTGTGTACGAAACAAATTTCAAATATTGTTACAGAAAACTCCCTTCGCTGTCACGAATACTAATAGCGATGTAGGAGCGTTTTATCGGGAATGTCAAAGCGCTCCGCAATTGCAAGCCTTTATGGAAGAAAGGACGCTTGCAGAACAATTGGGAGATCTCACTAAACAATTGGAAACGTTTGAGACAAATATGCAACATTATGAAGACATTTTATCATCTTTATATCACACAGAAAATAATAATTAAAGTTGGAGAATCTGTTAACAAATAACCGATTCAAACAAAGACTCGATTGTACACAGCTTTTGTGTATAAATCAATCATATTAAAGTGGATGTACATTAAATGAACGATGCGAATATTTCATTTTTTATGCTGATTTCTTTTCATGTTTGTATCTAGATAAATTTGGTATTTTCTACATGTGCAACACGCGTAAGATAAAGATGATTATTACACGTTTTTTTAAATTATAATTACTAATTTAAAAAGCAGAGAAAATGATTGATAATATAAGAATAACTTTGTTCATTACGTATAGATTTGAACACTATGATATAGTGAATATATGATATCTTCCATATACTCTTATCGCACACACTTTTTTTCAATATTGTTTAAAGCATTCGATGTGTGATACGAGTATATGAAAAATCTCACATATTGATGAATCCATACAAAACTTATAAGGATCAACCATAAAAAATGAGCATATTTTTTTTGGTAATTTATTGATAAGAGATAGAATGTATATTTGTATTCATGTTTAGACTTTGTCTAATTTGGATCCATTTTTACAAGCAAATTGAATGTTGTAATATTCTATTTGTTACAGTATGTATTTCTAAATTTTAGCAGTAAAATGTCAAATTGATATCTATTCGTTGTTCATTTGTATATGTACGTCCAACTTCAAATATTAAAGTAATTTTATCAGTTACATGTCAGAAATAAAGATCATTGATACACTGTTGTTTTGCATCAAATAATTTTACGATTTAGAAAATATAAATACTTTGATATAATATATTTAAAAATTTTAAGAATTGGAATATAAATGATTTTTCTTTCAATAGCCTGAAGAAAATTAATAATGCAATTGTTTTGCTAATATATAATGTATGTTGCAAAGATTTTATGTAATATATATGTAATAATCAACAAAGCAAACGCGCTAGTTGTGATAATTGATTACTTAATATAATTTATTGCTTGTATAAAGTGTAAATTGCACTTGAATATTCTAAGATTAAACGATTAAATATAAGTTGATTATGAAATAATCTAGTAATTTTTTATCCTATCCATTAAATTCGATTTAATTCTCATTTCAATAAGTACAGTCTCATATATAAAAATTAGTTTTTAATTTTTTTAAAATTAATAAAATTATATATGATAAAGCAGATAATTTATAGAAAATTAAAAAAATGTTTATCAATATATTATTATAAATTACCTGTAATTATTATCCACATCCATATTACTTTTCTGAAGAATATCTATTAAATAGCATTATTGACGAGAGAAATAAAATAATTTTCATGATAAATGCTAATATACTAAAAATTGTTTATTCGTTATCATACATTTGTGTCAAGTCATAAATGTTATAAAAACTGTACAATTTTAATACGTATCCATACAGATATCTTTAGAAATATACAAGATAAAAGAAAAGTTGCTTTTGGTATAATAAATTTGCACTGTTAAATGAATTACCATTAATTAGTTTGATTCTTCAGTGCTGTTAATTGCTCCGAATACTCGAGGTATAATCTTTGCCACCGAAGATGGCCACCAATTACAGTTAGTACATCGCCCAGAAGTTTATGTTTCTTTATTCCCTGTATGCCATTCGACATGAAAAATAAATGTTATACAATCGAATTAATTAAAAATTACAAAATTAATGATAAATTTAGATAATATTACCAAAATAACAGGGTCCCATGTACTTTTGGAAGCTGATGTATGACTTGGGCCCAAAAGATCGTCCAATATTAGCCTTAAACGTTTCTCCAAACCGTCTAAAAAATATTAGAAATATGAGAATGATGCATTATTACTTTGCAAGAAACTGGTTGAGTCATTAACGAATCTCAAATTCAATCTCGAACTTCATCCTATCTATGTATGCCTCAATTTTATACAAAGAGAATTAAAAATTGTAAATGAAAAGATATAAAGTAAACAGTAACCTGTTTTGGAAATCCATGTTTCGTATTTAAAAAAATACACGAAAATAAAGACTAAATTATATGGCGTACCTTGCGTTAATAAGAATGATACCAAGGCCATAAGCCAATGAATGTACTCTTGGGCACTTCCAAGAGCTTTAGATGCGAGTAATTGCTGTTCCAAATAGGAAACCACACTCGGTGCACTATGTGGTAATCGCGGATTTGGTAAAATATTCCCTGAGGTTCTAAGCAATCCTTCCTGTAGTGACGATAGAGGTCCTCTAGGCGTCCTATTGCCAGAAGTGCTTAGTACATTGAATGATGACCATCGCCATACTGGATCATGACTGTCTCCAATTAACAACCATGTTCCTATTTACAATATATCTATACAATAATCGTTATATAATTATAAATGATAAATATATAAAATGACAAGATTTTGCTATACCCATATCCTTATGATACATATACGCTCGTGCATTAGTAAATGCTACATGAGGCATTCCATTATACAAAGTGCATGACAAAAGGGATGCTCCAGGCGCTGCTAAATGAGCTGCCGAAGTTGAAACAATCATTCTGCACGTATTTCCTATTTCCCACACGCGAACCGCACCACAGCTCGATATTACCATCACCTATTAAATTTCATAATTATAAATAAACATTATAAATACACATGATGCATTCATTAAATCGATAAATAAGTTACCGCATTTCCAGCAGCATGAACCTTTGCCAAAGGTGCTGGTGGCGCTAATGGTGGTGCTGACCGGCATCCTTTTGCAGGATGAAATGTATGAAGACTCCCGTCTTCCAAACCCAAGGCTATCACGGCCGGTGATGCCGCTAATGCCACAGCACTATATCCTAAATAGAGATCCCATGTCGGTTCAGAATCTGTGCCTTTAAATACTTGCAAATGAGCCAAGCCATGACTATTAGTGACAGTTACAGCGTAATGACCCGCCTGTTGAGACAACGAGCTGGATGGCTTCAATGGAGGTAATAACATCTGACCTACACTCCTGTCAAATATGAATTTAGGCTTTTTATTCAGCAAAGAATGATGTATCTTTGGTGTTGTTTGCTCCTTGCGTTTCAGTGTAAGGGAGGATTCTGGGGTGTCGGCAACAATTGGTTTGGACGACGAAGTAACATTAGGTGCAACAACATCATTACGTTTTTCTATCACAATCGAGCTTTTTGTTTGTACTTTACTGGTGAACGTTGGTGTGCCTAAACTACCACTAATATTTGTATCTCTGAAAATTGACAAAAAAAAAGTTACAAGATTCAATATCAGATTCAGACGTAAAAAAAGTTCATATATTTCAACTTACGTTGTATCTGCTGGCGGTGGAATAAACATAGGAGTAATTCTTCTTTTCCCATCTGAAGTTCTCGTTTCGATTTGCTTATTAATAGGTCCCTTAACCGGAGTGGTCCCAGTGTTAGTGACAGGGGGAATGCTGGGAACGGATGATACTTGACAAGATTGATTCGATGCTGGTTGTTTTAAATTGAGGAGTTCTGGTGCTTCCATCACCATACAACCTCCTTGAATTAATGGTTTACCATATAATCGTTCATGTAGACTACTCTATAAACCCAAAAAGAATAATTGATTCTAGAAGATACATAAAAGGCAACAACAAATTTTGCATACGTACACACGCATACACACACATACACGCACGCACACACAATTACTTGTTCAGCAGGATCAAGAGGTTGTCCTAATTCCTGTTGAGTAAATTCGATAAATACAGCTGTTCCATCCCAAGAACATGCAGCAAGACGAAGACCGCATGGTGACCAACTAGCATCTAACACAGAATGTGTAAACAATTCGTGAATTACGACTAAAGGTCTTTTTAAAGATGTTAACCACACAGATAGAGAACGATCTCGTGATCCTATTGCAACACAACAATACTGTTGTGGTTTAGAGGAACCTGGTTGTTTCTTTTGTAGGATATTGCCATTAAATCTCTATAAAAAAAAATTACACTTGTATAGAGAGATATTCAATACAATAATTTTTTATTAAGTCTTCTTAGTATCACAAAAAGAATAAACAGAAATATGTCCAATGCTTACAACACAAGTTACTGCCTTCCTATGTCCAACAAAATCTTTGTCCTGTGTCCATCCGTCTCTTTCAATTATTTGAGCTGTAGGTCCTCCCCCATTCATAGCATGGGCAGATACTAAATACTGACCATCTGGACTCCACGAAAGTCTTAAAACATGAGTTGTTCCACCACATTCATCAAAAGGCTCAGATATTAATGCTGCTTCTGTCCAATCCGTAGTATGCCATACCCTCAATGTTTTATCATCAGATTGAGATGCTAAATATTTGCCCACAGGATCCCAAGTAATTCCTTTTACAAAACCTGTATGACCTTTTAATACTGCAACTACCGCAGGAAACTTGGAAGCATCCCATACTATAACACTGTTATCCACTGAGGCAGAAGCTAACCATGGACTATGTGGTGCCCATGCAAGATCGAGTACATCAGCTTCGTGTGAGCGTAGTGTAGCAATACATCTCCAAGTCTCAACACTGGCTTTTCCACCAAAAATAGAGCTTCCTCCTGATCCAGATAATCGCCAAATCATAATAAGCTTATCTACACCACCTGATGCCAATAATCCACTATTGCTCCATCGTACGCAATTCACACACGCTAAATAAAAGTAAAAATATATATTTCATATCAATAAGTTAATAACATAAACAAAATTAATCTTTACCAAGATGATTGTCTAATTGGCAAAGCATCTTTGGAACATTGGAGTCTAATTCAGCAGTCTCATTAACTACCGGTTCCATATTCCATATAACAACTCTTCCTGAATCACCACCTAATTTAAACACAACAATAACAAGTACAAAAATAAAATTTTGAATATTATCGATATCTTATTGACATTTTTAATGTGTTATTCCAATTTAATATATATCTTCATAAACGGTAAGATATAGATATAACAGTTATACCTTGACCACCAGTAGCAAATCTTTTCCCATTAGGATGTATATCGATAGAAAATATTGGATACCCTGACAAAAAATAAATATTAAATCATTGAAATTAGTAATTTTTTGAGATATCATCCAAAAGCAAAAAATATCACAAACCATCATGAGTAACCCAATTTGGCTTGACCAACTTCATTTTTATTGTCGTCCGAGGCTATGTAACAATTCTATAAATAATCTTCAAATCTTACATATTATAATAAAGAAGTGTCCCCGGCACAATTTAAAAATTCGCATGAGATAAGAGACATAACCTATACAGTCGTATGCATACAAAATACATATATACATGACATTAAATTAGCTGGATTGCGTTCGGAAACTTCACTCAACTTCACCTTTGTTCACACTTATCACTTGCTCCAATCAGCTAGCCTATCGCACATGAGCGCTCAGTGAGCTCTTTGTACATACATACCTGTTTGGTTTACATCACTGGTCTAGTTTCCACCGAAGCATTAATTCGCACCTAATTCGGCGTAGAACCAAATTTAACTCGATAGAAATACGTTTGACTTCCGCTCATTTCACTTCCACTTCGATTCACAACTTCTACCAGAGTGGCAGCGAATTGACATTAAATTTTAGTCGGTGGAAACGACTGAAATAGATTAAAAGTAAATATCGCCAACCTTTCCATTATTCGTTAAAAGGTTAAAAGTATGAGTCGTTCAAAAATGGATAATAAGCGTGATATTTGGTCATACAATGAAACTTTAACATTAGGTCTGTTCGCGTTGCTTGCACTTTTTGCACTTACCATCTTCGCTTTCTCTCTTTTTAACGTCGAATATATATCTGTCTCATTTTAAGTGCAAAATTATTTGGGGATTTCATGCAACGCGAACAGACCTATTAATTCACTTCACTTCTACTTCCAATGGAAACAGTACACCAAGTTTGATCTATACCGTAGTGAAACCGAATTGAGGGTTTCGGTGGAAACTAGGTCACTGATATGTATATATGGATAGCGAACGCCCTATACCAGCAATGCTAAATTTTTGTGCGGAATAGAAGGGCCGCCATGTTGACTCAGGTGTGTCATTTGAGAAGTGGGGGGAGTGGGGAATGAAGGATAGCGGTTCCGCGGGAGCTTTGAAATCAGTATAAACATAACATTATCGCTTGGTGGCGAATAACGTCGATGATTGCATAAAATAATAATGCAATAAAATGTAAATGTTTGTAAATATCCCGGTAAACGAAAAAGAATTAAAAAGAATTGAAATTTGTAATTCTTTCAATATCATTTTTGAACACCTAAGAAGAATATTGAAATGCATTAAAAGTAATTGAAAACGAAAAGTAGGAATTGAATGAATTGACAAGAATTCAGAATGTTGAAATGTATTCATTTAATTAATGCCATTCCATAACCTATTTATTTACATTTATGCATGTTATGTACTTTGCAAGAATAAATATTGGTTAAACTTATCGCATAACCTCAATAACGTAATTTATTAACAAATTTCCCTTACCGATGAAGAGTTCTTTGCACCGATGCAGTCTTCTCTGCCTTTTTCCCACAGAAATAGCACTTCATATTGCATTCCAATTTACAAAAACGATCACCAAATCTATAACGGCATACCGAACAGAAAACAGCCTTTTTAGTATTAACCGCGCGACATATGTAAACATTACGAATGCACCCGACAGATACCGACAATTCCCGAAAATGACACAGTCGAGTCAACATGGCGGCTCTAATTTTCGGCACACGAATTGCAGCCCATCCGCTATTCATATTAGGTGCGTTCGGCAATGCAAATCGGAGGCATCTGTTTGCTCTTTCACCTCGGAAATCGTTCGGCAATTCGTATCTTTCTGCTACATGTCATCTCATCTGCGTTCGGTATTAACATTTCCAGAGCTAATCAAGCTCCTCAATCCACTCTGGATTCAAAGACCGAGCTCGTAGAGCTAATGCAAATATTCGCGCCTAAATTGAATTCATAACCTTTTCAAGCTTCCATACATGCTGCATTCTCCTACAGTTCTGTTGTATTCTCTAGTTGCCATAACTCTTCCAAATAAGTTACTCGTAAAAGTAACGCTACAAATTCATCCTGAAATCGGTGTCGCCTTGGAAAACTGAAATCTTTTTGTACATACAGGAGAGAAGCGGTCGTAAAACCGATTGTCGCGATTCCACGGTTTTCAGAGAAAATTCTCCTTTTTCTTCCACCGGACACACATAAGTGTATTTTACTTATTATGGCTGAGTCTACAATCAAAGTAATAGAAATTGATGGAATACATTACGTATTTAACGAAGAAAGTAAGTTTTTAAATCTTTTTCTCTTTATGAATTTGAGGTTACGTATTTAAAAGCAAAGAATTTGCATGTTAATTTTTAGATCAGAATTTATGTTGCATATATATAATAGTGAAATAAAATAAAACTATATTAATTATATTGAAGGCTCTAATGAATAGAAATGAAATAAATTTTAATGCTAGTAGGAATCGTCACTATAGTTATCCATGTTTATAATACATTTATATTTTACAAATATATATTAAATATAAATGTTTCAATCCACATTCAGATCATCTTTAGTAGAAAATTAGAACGCTCATTTAAACAATACAATCACATAATTTAATAAATTATGTGTGAAGAAATCGTATTAGTTGTAGCACACAATGTTTGATTCCATATAAAGTTATGCGATGTCCAAGGTTTTGATACAGTAAACATTTTATAGGATGCTTACAAAGTATGGTAAATGTTAAGAAGACCCCGGCCACCTCAAATTTTGATAAAAATATGCTCAATCCAAGCGTTTTTGCGTAAAATAAAGATTTGACAAGAAAAAAGCGTTTGTCCTATGAACCGAGATATTAATCGTTAAAAGTAATGATTAATATCTCAATTTTCAGGGCAGAGCGACACTTTTTTCTTGTCAAATCTTTATTTTTACGCGTAAACGCATCAATTGAGTGTATTTTTATCAAAATTTGAGCCGGTCCGGATCTTTTTAATATTTACCATAACCTTAAGTGACAGCTCTGTTACCTCTGTATCGTTCGAGATTAATTTTCGGCACTCGGTTTGCTCGAAGATCACGTGATCAAGCTCACCATCTGCTAGCTCGCATCTCAGATTTACATTGCCGAACGCACCTATTATACATATCAATGGGGTAGACCAAAAGTGACGGCAGATAACTTCCCCCACTCTTGCGCTTCATTAGTCCTTTCTGTCGCTCTGATAGTCATTTTCAATTCCTGACTGCGCATGTCAAACAAACCTTATTTCTGTTTGATTGAATTAAAAAAGATAAAACGTGCCAAAAATTTATCCTATGTGACTTACGATGACCGAGCGAGTGTGCTGTGTTCGAAATTGTTTCAATCCTCAAGAAAAAGAAAATCGAAAAGGTTTAAGAACAAGAACTTCTTGATTATAACCGATGCGCGCATGCGCAAACTTTCACACAATGTGCAATGCCACTGCGCATTGTGTGAATAACTGCGGACGTTTTTTGACCTACCCCCACCTAGAGTCCTAGATATCAGAGAAGCGCAACCAATGTTCCGCGTCCTGATTAGCTGACTGTCAGCCAATCATGACATTCATTCAGTGGTATTAAAAATGGCTGACTAATAGACGATTGGTGGATTTCATATTTCGTCTGCAAACGACGCCATTTTTAATACTTTTCTTAGTAATTTTGCGATATTGACTTAAGCCGGTTGTGCTTCTCTGAGGGTGCAAACCCATGCAGCGGAATAGCGTAACGCGGAACGAGAGTAGAACCAATCACGAGATTCTCTAGAAACACGGAATGCTCGTTATTGGTTCTGTTCTCGTTCCACGTTACGCTATTCCGCTGCATGGGTTTGCACCCTGATATCTAGACTCTAGTTTACGCTTATGTTAAGCTTACGGACCCTATTGTAGACGCGCCTTTATACTGTGCGCTTGACGCTTATTTTTAGCGTCAAAACAGGGGGTCAATCACGTACTTTTTCCCCTAGGGCGGAAACGTGACAGTGAAAATTTTTTGCATGATGTGTATATATGTTCATACATACATTCATAAAAGTTTTCACTTTCACTTTTCCGCCCTAGAGAAAAAGTTACGTGATTGACCCCCAGATCACGTGATCAAAATTGATGCTTAATATTCGTCAATTTGTATTACGTGATCTGTTTTAACGCTAAAGCGGGGAGCACAGACTTTTGCATAACGCATAAACCATATACATAAAGAATTTGATTGGTCCATTGACTCATGCATAAGAAAATGGGCCAATGAAATTCCTTATGCACATGCTTTATGCGTTATGCAAAAGTCTGTGCTCCCCGCTTAAAAATAAGCGTCAAGCGTCAGCCTGAAATTGTACCTTTTTATACGCGCTATAATGGAAAATAATAAAGTATTATTATAATACTTCGACAAAATTTTGCTTCGTATCAATGGGCGAGTTCAAGACGGCAAAGCGGCTAGGTATCCTTGCCGAGCGATTGAATATAATTGGTTATTACTTATAGATCCAACCAATCATACTCGATCGTTCGGCAAGCGTACCTAGCCGCTTTGTCGTCTTGAACTCGCCCAATGATACGATTTTTCTGATTGGTTGCAGAAATGCAGAGTCGCCGTACGACGAAAATCGGATGCAGTGCGAATCCAGCATAACACCGCTGAGAATGGCAGGAATTCCCCATTAAAACAAAAGAATTATCTCAATTGGCGAGGAAGAAGAAGAAGGGGAATCACTATATTTATGAGCTCGCTTTTGTTAAATTGATTAGTTCGATCAGTTCGACTGATTAGTCTGAAGTTCTGAAGACTTGAGTGTGTGTAGTTGTATCGCGAGAGTGTGTCTTCATTTGTGAATGATTTTTACGAAAAGTAGGGATTTGTGCACGGCGGAAACAACCTATTCAACAGTATCAAGGTAGCGTATATTCATGCGTATAATAGTTACGCTCAAATTTCGAAAGATCACTCGACCGTACTGGTCTTGTTTTAGTCTGTTTTAAATCATTTATAATTTTTGAAATGTTGACGGATTTGAAAAAATGCATTGACAAAATCTAATCGTGTTAAATTTTTTCGCGGAAGGTAGGTGCATTAAGTAATAAGATAAGTGCCTATAGTGTGCAAAAAACGT